GAACAATATCTGCTAGTGATATGCTTGGACTGTTATAAATGATATCAGAGTCAGACATCAGTAGTGTACGAGCGTTTAGAACGAAAATTCGCTAGGTAATAATATAATTTAAAAAATAAAATAGACAAAACTATATTTAAATTTACTTATGTTTTTTTTTTTATATAAATTAATGATTAAGCCTCGTCATCTTGGGAACATCATTCCTTTTCTTTTGCAATTTTTGAAATCATTTCCCCCAAAATAAATAAATAAATAAATAAATAAATAATGAGATTATTTTTTAAAAATGAGGAGTAATTAAAGCCAAAATCAAATTATACGGATATATAAAAAAATTATATTCATCCGTCAAACTAAAAAGTATAATATTTAATTCACTTTTAATTATTGCAACAACACTCGATCAAATTCTTTTTAATAATTTTATTTATTTATTTATCTCGTAAAATAAATTACTTATTTAGCTTATTTAATTTTAATTTACATAAATTGCTATTGTAATTATGCATTACATCAATTGTTAGTGATCATTGCTAAACTATTCCAAAAATTTGTTAGAAAAATACTATTTATTATAATTATGTATTATAACCTTGTAGAAAAAAAAATTATTATTACGTTAATTTCTCTTTAATATATATATATATATATATATATATATATATATATATATATTTTTTTAAGTTCGGGATGAGCAGATTCAAACCTCATCATTTTCAATCGTTAGTCAAAAGTTTTAAGGGAAAAAAAGAAGAAAAGAGTGCGATTGAGACCTGAAAAGTTAAAATTTTAGAACGTAAATATACTCTCGGGTTTATAATTTCTTCATTTTCAAATTTTTTTTATTTACGATACATTCAATTCAGCAGCGTTGGAGTATAGTAGGGGTATTTTGGTCATTTTACATGAACGAATGAGAAAAATATTTTGTTTGTATTGGATAGGAGAGGAGACAAGGCAATAAGTTTCATGTTAAAAAGAGAAAAAGGAAAGGGGAAAGGAAAGTGTGTATGGGGATTAGAAAGGAAAAAGAAAAGTAATGATAATTAATAATGGGAAAAGAATAGAGAGAAAAAAGAGTGAATGTCGGAGAGAGTGGAAGAAAATGAAGCATGAATAATGGAAGAAGGGAAGCTATGTTTGGGAAGTTGTCTCCATGTGATGCCCACTTGTGGCGGCAACCGTTGTGGAGATGGGGCCTTCCAATGCCATCACCCATGGACTCGAGCCGTTCTCGTCTCGATCACGCTCGCTACGTATCATCATCAGTATCACGTCTGTTAGGAAGAGGTCGTCACACTTTTATAAAGAATTCTTCGTTCTCCTCTCCAATCACCTCCTTTTGGGGTCGAGCATCTTCGTTGATACTCGTTCCCCTCTCCAATCGATGTGGGATCTCACAATCCACCCCCTTTCAGGGCTTAGCATTCTCGCTAACACTCCGCTTAGTGTCTAGCTCTAATTTTGTCTGTTTTAGCCTATTATGTAATGTCATCAATCTCACGATTTTAAAATGTGTATACTAGAGAGAGGTTTCTACACTCTTATAAAGAATGTTTTGTTCCCTTCTCCAATTGATGTGAGATCTCACATGAGAACTCGTCTAACCTAGACTACCCAATGTTTTTTTTTCCCGATTTGAGTTGAGTTGCACGTTGACATTTTTTCAGTTGGGTCTCGACCAACCTGAAAAATAGGGTTACAATCAAACTCAATCTAACTCTATCCTACTTTCAAGTTTGTAACCGATGTTAGTGATGTGTTATAACTTCTAAGTTGGGTTGTAAACTTTATTCGGGTTATTTGGATCATCAATTTTGGGTCGGTCTAAAAGACTTCTCTAATCCAATCCGATCTTGTATATCTTTAATTTGAACATAAACGAGGTATAGGAATGAAATAGAAGACAACGTCGCGATGGAGTAGATATGTAGGGTAAAGAAAAAGGGTGTAATAATTGGAGTATACATATTAGAGACCCCACCTCCTTTTGAATGTCTGAATTGAGCCAACCTCAGCAACTAATGCACTTATGTAATGCTTCTATTTAAGGGAACAATAAAAAAGATAGAGCACCACCTTCATTCTTATTACAAAATACACTAACCATAATACCACATCTCCTTGTCCCCCTTCACCTTCCTTTTCTATTTTCTTTACAAATTCTATGACTTACGCGTTGATGTCCAGAAACATGTTCTACTGCAAGAACTTGAAATGAAAGATCGACCGACCCCTTCTGCCTATCAACCGAGCTGCTTTACCGAGGAGGTTCAGGAGCAAATTAGGGTTAGGTTAGCTTATGGTCCACTACCAGCCATCTTCGATAATGGAGGCTCGTACATGTCATTTCAAAACAAAATGATAGATAAATGAACATGCCACAAATCATGTTTGAATATCGTACGTCATTGTTATGAACGGTTGATCCAATGAGCTATTCTATAACCTAATTCAAATGATTTATATGCTATCAAATAATGGAGCGTCTAATGATCGTTTTTTTTTTAAAGCAAAATCTTTATAAGTTTTGTTTTTAGATTTTTTATCTTATTGATTACGATCATAAATCACATAAGACTCGTCATGTGTTATGTCGTGACTTTTGAAATTCGGTTCACGAATTCAATGCCTTAAACTTTGGAATATCTCGAGAAAAAGAAGAAATAAAAAGCATGCATATGAAAATTTCTTAAGGTTTGAAAATTGAAATTCAATCTTTGACTATCTCATTGACAATTTTAGCACCTTCTTTTTTGACAATTTTATTGAACTATAAAGTAATTAATTTTTTTATTTATTTAAAACATTATTAAATATATTAAAATACTTTGAATTTCAAGATGGTCAAAGCTCCAAAGTAAAAGTAAAAGTAAAGAACCAATGAAGAAGAAAATAGACCAAATGGTTTGAAATCTGTCCACCTCATCGTCCACCTCATCATCATCTTCCTCGGGTTTGAATTAAGACCAATTTTTAAGGTTTGAATTGTGAATATAATTTATAAATATAATGATGAGTTTTTTCGGAATTACTAATGATTACTGCATATGATAATTCTAGGGTTTTTCAAATGCAACAGTAAATTCGAAAAATTAACAAAATCATCGGAAAAAACCTAAGTTGATGAAACTAACGTCGGAAAAAGTTATTATCATAAACACTTTAAGACAAGGTACGTAGATGTCAATGCATTCGAAAAACGTTGGAAGAAGAACAAGGTTGTCGATATTTATGCGAATAATAAATAAATTATTCATTATTCATTATAAATTCAAATAAAAGGATGGAAAATTTAAATTATTAGCGGAAAAAAGTAACAGGTTATTTTAAAAGTTTGTTCCGACAAAAAATAATAATAAAACATGAAATTGTAGAGAACCGACAATGAAGCATAAAAATAGTTTTTAATTTTTTTAAAAAAAAGAAAAAAAATTAAATTTCCTCTTTTTAAGGGTAACGAAAAAAACAATTAGTGTCCTTTTCAGTTACCTAACCGACGGTAACTTGCATTTAGTCTGTGGAGATGTCGGAAAAATAATAAAAAAATAAAAAATAAAGGAATTTGTTTTGGTCCCTTAAATTTAAAAAATAATTAATTATTAAAATTTTTACATTAAAATTTTTGTTGAGGATTCTTGAGATTAATAGTCCACAATTATGGAGATTAATAGCAACGAGCCCAGCAGATATTTGTCCATTTTGGACTTTCTCTTCTACGACTTTCGTTCAAATTTTAAAACACGTCTATTAGGGAGAGGTTTTCACACCCTTCATAAGAAATGTTTCGTTCCTCTCTTCGACCGACATGGGATCTCACTGGCACACCGTCTAGTGTCAGGCTCTATACCATTTATAATACCTCAAACTCACCACTAACAAATATTGTCCACTTTGACATGTTACATAACGCGGTCAAACGTCACAATTTTAAAACATGTCTATTAAAGAGAGGTTCCCACACTTTATAAGGAATGCTTCGTTTCTCCCTTCAACTAATATGGGATCAGTTATATATATATATATATATATAAATTAACCTTAAAAAGTGAAAAATATTATTTTTCTTAAAAAAAAAAAAAAAAAAAAAAAAACCTCCGCGAACTATGGAATTAGTGAAAGACGGCATTCCTTTTAGAGAGGAAATTATTTTAAAAATTGGAAAATTATAAAGTCAGCTTCCACAATTCAACTCTTACATTCAGACCAACTTTTTATTTCACGCACAATGATTTTCATTTATTTATTATTATTATTATTATTTTGCATGAAAAAAACCTGTCGACACTTTTTCCTTTTTCTGCCTTTTTTTATTTTTTTTATTTTTTAATTAAAAAAATGAGAAAAAACATCATTTTAAATATATTTGTTTACTCATAACTTATGATAATTAATCATTTCTTCTTTATTACTATTCAATAAATTCTTTAATACTTTGAAAAATAATTATTTTTAAAAAAATATTAAAAATTAAATATTAAATAACCCAATGGGAATTTTAGAGAGATTAATTATGCATTTTATAATTTTTTTTTTCCCACCGACCATTTAATCCTACTGATTACTCCACATTTTTCTTCTCTTTATTTTTTCTTTTGACCATTACAGTTGGCTTGACTGCTTTTGTTCGAGTTTTGGGAACTGTTGACGAGGAAAAAATTAAAACAATTTTTTATTTTTTATAAAAAAAATGATTCAAATTTAAATAATTAAAATATATATTTTTTAAATACTTTATTTAATCATTTGTGTATTTTTTTTTAAAAAAATACACTATGAAAGAGGTTAGATAATAGTCGTTTTTTTTAAGTCAAAATTCAAAATTTCAAAATTCAGTTGATTTGGTAAACCGTACGTATCAACGGCTATGTGAGTCGGTGCTGCCAAGCTCTTTGGGCCCAAATTTTTATTTATCCAGGAAGAAGCCCATTATAGAAAAAGCCCAAACGTGGTGGCATTAAAGAAGGCCCATTAGGCCCGTGTCAACACATTGGGAACAAACAGGGGGGAACGGAACGACAACTGTAAGAGTCTGTAAGCACTGGGTTTCATCCATGGCTGCTTTTCTTTCCTTATCTTCCATTTCTTTGACCAGAACGGCCACTGTTCTTCCTCATTCAACCACTTCCTTCAAGGTAGTTCTCAATTACTTAATTGAAAATTGCAGACGTTAATTCAGTTCAAATTTCAAATTCTTTGATGCTTTTATCATTCACGAAACTTTAATTCATTACATTTCCAGGGAAATGTGAGGCTATTGAACTCAAATCCGTTCAATATTTGTTCATCTAGACTCAAATTCACGGTCGCAGATGGGAAACGATTGGTTGTTCGCAGCCAGGCTGCTGCGGCTTCCCTGTCTGCTTCGTCCGGTGAGAGTGTGCGGTTCCGTCTCGATAATCTTGGACCACAGTCAGGTTCGAGGAAGAAGGCGAAGAGGAAGGGGAGAGGTATATCGGCGGGACAGGGAGGTAGCTGTGGGTTTGGAATGAGAGGACAGAAATCAAGGTCTGGACCGGGTGTGAGAAGAGGATTTGAAGGTGGACAAATGCCTCTTTATCGGAGGATCCCTAAACTTCGAGGAATTGCTGGAGGTAATCTCCAACCTTTGTAATTCTTATCATTCTACTGGTTGCTTTATGTGTATGAATTGTAGAGCTCTACGTATCTGGCTGTTAGGCGTCTGCAATGGCTAATTCTGCCATAGGTTGTTGTTTCTTCATTGAGGGATAGTTCAAATTTATTTTAAGCTGTTTAGTGTTTAGAGGTTGTTTTGACAATTTCTGCCTCGTCGGTTGGGGAGGAGACAAAACATTCTTTATAAGGGTGTGGAAACCTCATCCTATCCTAGCATACGCATTTAAAAATTTGAGGGAAGCCAGAAAGGGAAAGCCTAAAGAGGACAATATTTGCTAACGGTGGGCTTGGGCTGTTACAAATGGTATCAGAGTCAGACATCGGGTAGTGTGCCAACAAGGACATATAGCCTCGAAGGGGGGTGGACACCGAGTGGTGTGCCAGCGAGGACCCTGGGTCCCGAAGGAGGGTGGATTATGATATCCTACATCGATTGGAGAGAGAGGAACGAGTGCCAGCGAGGACGCTGGGCCCTGAAGGAGGTGGATTGTGTGATCCCACATCGTTTGGGGAAGAGAACAAAGAATTATTTAGAAGGGTGTGGAAACTTCTTCCTAGCAGACGCATTTTAAAAACCTTGAGGGGGAAACCCAAAAGGGAAGGCCCAAAAAAGACAATATCTGTTAGCGGTGGGCTTGGAGACCATTTGCTATTAGTTGTTTGGACTTGTTCTACTCGTAATATTGTGTAATTCCTTCAACCTGAACGAAGAACATTCAGCCCAGTTAGATTTTTAGGAGTGTAGGACAAGGGAGACAAGCTTTCACTCTGTAAGTGGACGGCCTTCTCCCTGTTACAGCATAATTTTAGTGTTTGGGCTGAGTGATTAGGAAGCTGTAATGGTTTATGATGATGCTTCTTCAAGTACTCTACTAAATGGGAGAGAGTTTGTCTCCAAACTGGATATGAGAGTTTTTAATTTTATGTGAGATCTCATATCGATTGGAGAGGGGAACAAAGCATTCTTTATAAGGGTGTGGAAATCTCTTCCTAGTAGACGCGTTTTAAAACCATGAGGCTGACGGCTATACGTAATAAGCCAAAGTAGACAAATACCCTTGTAGTAGACTTTAGCTGGTACAGATTATGAAAATGAGAGAAATAGATAATCAGTTGACGAAATATCTAATAGGATTAAATGTGAATGAATAAAATGTACTTATGAAAGCGTCTAGATGGAATACACCATCCATGGACTCAATAAATAAACTCTTGAACATAATGTCTTGTATAGTATTAGTATACTTGCCTTGTCCTTGTTACTAGCTATGCCTTGGGTCAGAATGTTTAGTTTATCATCACAGGTTGAGAGGTACTTCAATCTTATGTATGAACGTATTTTGTGATTTCCTCTACGTGTTTCTCTTCTCATTTCTTACTCTTTCTTTTCACTAAAAAACGTTCTAAGACGATACATTGTGTATTACATTTGTCTTTTTCGTGGTTTCGTTTGTATCAACTAATGATATTCGAGCTAAACAATTGTTTATTTCTTTCAAGGTATGCATGCTGGGTTACCTAAATATGTGCCGGTGAATTTGAAAGACATTGAAGCGGCAGGATTTCAGGAAGGGGAACAGGTCACCTTGGAAACTTTGAAGGAGAAGGGTTTAATCAACCCTTCGGGAAGAGAAAGGAAACTCCCATTAAAGGTACTAATGTCACGTGTATCTACATTGTGAGGATAGCAAATATCAAAATGGACCTTATGGTGCACTTTCCTAAATTTTTTTCCTTTTGACGATCGACTCAAATAGATAATCTGGTTATATTTCATCTCCCAAACTCACCGCTAGCAAATATTGTCTTTTTTTGGAGTTTTCCTTTCGGGCTTCCCTTCAAAGTTTTAAAACGCGTCTACTAAAGAGATATTTTCACACTCTTATAAGGAATGTTTCGTTCCCCTCTCCAACTGACGTGGGACCTCGCATTTAGTAATAGGCATATGCAATCAACATGAATTCAAGACAGCTATTCAAAATCCTAGTGGAAGATATTGGATCTGTTATCTCATATTTGCGAAAAAATATACCAATTGAAATGGACTTCTTGAGTTGGGTCAACTATTCAATCTCACCAAGTCATGGTAACTGATTGATAATTGCTGGGCTTTGTCTTTCCTTCAGATTTTAGCTGATGGGGAGCTGAGTGTGAAGCTAAATATTAAAGCTCGGGCTTTTTCATCAGCAGCCAAAGAGAAGCTTGAGGCTGCTGGCTGCACGCTTACTGTATTACCTGGACGAAAGAAGTGGGTCAAGCCATCAGTGGCTAAGAACCTCGCTCGAGCAGAAGAATATTTCGCAAAGAAAAGGGCTGCAGCAGCTGCTGCAGAACAAGCTACCGCATGAATGCTTGTGTAAAGTTGCAGTTTGGTGACAAATTCCAGGTTAAATCTCTTCCATTGTAATTTGATTGTATTATTGGTTAACTTCAAGAGCAAATTTTGCTTCTCTGAAAATGTTGGTGCCAAAAAATAGTGAAGGAATTTAAAAACATGGTTCAATTCAGAAATAGCGCGTTGAATACTAGTTGACTAGCGAGGGGCAGAGGACATCAAATATGGATGATTCAGTTAGGTCCTAACCATTCCTTTTATTTAAACTAACCACATCCAGATTAGGACATTTCTGATTCAACTGTTGAATTTTCAAAATGGTGTTAGGGTGAGAAGGAAATTTATATTGAATTTAGAGCATCCGGGTTTCGTTTTTAGCACGTGGGTAGGACTTTCAATAGAACTATGGGGTTTATCCTTTTTTGATACTGGGAATCTGGAACAGGAAAGCAATAGTCTATTAGAATTAGTCAATTTGAAAGTTTTGGTCACTTTCATGATGGTTTGCTTCAATAAATAATGTGTACTGTTGTTTTGGATGCAAGGCATGTGCTTTATTAATCATATATTTCTGGATGACTCATTTGCTGCCATTCAATAATGCTCATTTGCGTCGAGAGAAATTTGAAAGCGACCTCAAAACCAAAGGCTGCACCACTCATGGTGGTGCCCTCTTAACAAATTTGGATTTGCTTTCCAGGTCTTTTACTCTCTCTTTCCCTTTCTCTTCTGAAGCTTTATTTTAGTGTAAAAGGCATACCCACGAGCCAAAAATGATGATCTTTCCAAACAAGCTTAATCTATGTTAGGAGAAAAGTAAGTTCAAATCTATCTTCCAAAACCCGCAGAAATCCTTCAGTTGTTACACACCATGCTGCCTAAGTTATACCTTGTATGGTTGGAAATTCGATTCTGGTGTATTCTCTGTAGGAAATTATTGTCCTGATTCTAGCAAAATTGAATGAGAAGTTATGTAAGGACTGAGAATGAAATGGTGAGTAGGAATAGAAACTGCCCAAGTCCACTGCTAGGTAACAGATGTTGTTCTTTTTGGGCTTTCTCTTTTGAACTTTTCTTCAGAGATTTAAAACGTGTTTGCTAGGGAGAAGTTTTCTTATATTTGTAAATAATGTTTTGTTATCCTCTCCGACCGACGTGGAATCTCACAATTCATCTGCCTTCGAGGCCCAGCATCTTTGCTGACACTCGTTTCTTTCTTCATTTGATATGGAATCTCACAATCCACCCTCTTTCGAGATCCAACATCTTTGTTGGCCCTCGTTCCTCTTTTCAATTGATGTGGGATCTCACAATCCACCCTCCTTCGATTCCCAACGGTCTCGTTGGCACTCGTTCCTCTCTCCAATTGATGTTGGATCTCACAATCCACTTTCCTTCGGGACTCAGCGTTCTTGACGGCACACCGCTTGATACCCACCCTCTTTTAGGGCTCAGTATCCTTGCTGGTGTACCCCCGATGTTGGCCTCCGTACCGCCCAACGAGATCTCACATTGTTGGGGAGGAAGACAAAAACATTTTTTTTATAAAGGTATGGAAAACTTCTCCCTAGCATTTTAAAATCTTGTGAAAAAGTTCGTACCTAGCTGTGTGAGCAACTTTAACCAAATAAACTTAAATATATATATATATATATATATATATACACACATATATATTATTTTTTTTGTGAAAAGAAATATTTTATTTTACAGAAGCACTTCCCAGCACGTCTTAAAGAGCGGGACGTCGGCCACCGTGGGAGCACCGGTGGTTCCCAAAGGTTACCGTAAAATTTGGAGCACGGCTTAAAAAGGGTTTTTGTTTGCGTCCTTATATTTAGTCCAATTTATATTTGACTTTTTTTAATTATATTTTGTTTTTGGGCGTCTGAACACTTGGACTACTTTGACGCGATATAATTTATTTCTTTAACATATATATATATATATATATATAGTCAAACAAGCGTCATTTCCATTATCATAATTTAAAATGAAATTAGAAAATTCAAATAAAAATACATTTCCTAATTTTTTTTTTAAATTTAACTTGTATTTTTATTAATTTAGCATATAATTTATTATTTCTTATTTTACAAAAATAATATATAATTAATATTGTGGAGCATAAAAAAAGGGCGAAACACGTGATCACTTCAATGAAAAGACGAAAGTATGCCAACTGACCACATGATCCGAGACACGTGTCGAAATCACGTAGCACCGTCCATTGAATTCAGCGAAGGGCGGGGCCCACATTTCCATTAAAAAAAAGAAAAAAAGAAATTGAGATATTTACACAATTAATTTAAAATAAAATGTTATAAAGTTACAGGCGCTGAAACCGGTGATATTTGTGTCGGCCTCGACCGGCACCGCCAATTTTACAATTACTTAATAAATACGAAATTTGAAAATTATTTTTAAAAAAATGGACAAAAATTTAAATTTAAAAACCCAAATACCGAAGCCCAAACCTCCGACCCCAGCGAGTTGGGAACGGTCTTCGTCTTCTTCATCCGCCTTCTCTCTCTACTTTCTCTCTCTCTCTCTCTGTTCTTAACTTTTTTGTTCTGCTTTTCTGATTGCTCTGTACACTGCGGCGCTGTTCTTCTTTTTGCTCTTTTCCTTTTGTATTTGTTTCCCCGTTTACGCCCGCCGGCCCGCGCTGTCCTGGATTTTCCTTCTTTCATTCTGTATATAATACTGCTCAACTTTTTGAAGGTTGGATACTCAACTGCTGCCACTTGATTTTCAGGTTTTGTTCTTTTTCCCTCCCTCTTTTATTTGATTTTTCTTTTGCTGTGGTGGAATTTGAATCTGTTTGTGAGATATGGAAATTCTAGGCTTCTTTGGCGTGGATCTGGTGTTTGGTTGCGGAGTTGTTTTGGAACTGTTTAGGTCTAGAGATGGTTAATTTTACTCTGGATGAATGGATTAGGGTTTTTAGGGAAGGAAGTTGTGTTTTAGGGTTTGAGGATTTGAGGAATTTTTGAATTTTTTATGATTTTAGTATTTTTGAAAATAATTTTGAATTCGTGCAGGTTTTGATTATTAATTTTTTCGATCTACTTAGGGGCTTTGGATAACATATGTGCGTGTTTGTCTTAATTTTTTAATTGTTATGATAGTGATGTAAAGGATCATGCCATGTAATGAACTAATTTTTTTTTGTCCGTTCTTTTTAGCTTCAATATTTTAAATATTCGCGAAATTTCCGAACAATTTCCGATTTGCGGGGGGGACAAAATCAAACTTTGAATTTTCTTCCGATTTCATCGTTTGTTTGGTGCCATTTGTCGCCAGGATGCTTTGTTTCTTGTATTACATATGTTTTCGGTTGCTTTCTCATCTCTCCAGCTTTATTTGTCCCTTGGAATAACCGAAGACGAGTATGAATCACTGCGGCATTCTGTCGAACACCTTCTCGGGTCACGACGAGGAGATGAGGACCTCTGTTCCGCGTCCCGTTTCAGACGTTAGAGATCATATTGTTTGCCCTAAACCACGGCGTCTTAGTAATCTACAGGTCGCCGTCAACGGCCACGCCGATAGCTTTTTCCGGTGGAATGTTTGGTTAGTTTTCTGATTCTTATCGTGATTTTACAAAAGAAGAACCCTTGGAAATGCCTCCCTTTTGTTAATTCTTTCTTGAACTGAATTTCAGTCACCAAGTTGAGCAAATTGACATGGCAGCCGGACCGGATCTACTTGACTTCCTGCTGAAAAAGGTATGCTATGCTCTTATCTCTTCCCTTTTTAGTTTCTTCAGATCATAAGAGGATGAATATTGGAATTTAGAGGAGGCCCTCGTAGCCTAAGTTGTTGAATTTTATAGGATTGTCGCAGCGTGGATCAATCGTTTACGCAGTTGGCTTCGACGCCCCCTTTTTTACGTGGGTCTCCGCCGAGCAGAGTAGCCAACCCATTGATTCAGGACGACCGTTTTGGGGATGAAAATTTCATCCCCTTTTCACCGATCGCTTCACCGTCAGGTCAGTTGTCGCCCCCTACAGCAACCTCCAGGAAGGGAGGCGGCCTAGTAAGGGCGAGTTTTGGGAACAAACCAACGGTGAGGATTGAGGGTTTCGATTGCCTGGACAGGGATAGGCAAAATTGCAGCATCCCTGCCTTCGCTTAGAAAACCCATCTCAATTTCAAATCCATAGAATACAAAGATCTCCAAATACAATTTGCCCTTCTTTTGTGAATACTTTTGAAGTGTTCTTTGAAATGTAAATGAAAATCAATTCCCATGTATACAAAAGCTATGTATTTTTAAGCTTTTTTTGTCTTTTTTTCATTTTTTTGAGTCGATCAAGAACAAGCAACGATGCGTGGATGGTCAACCTCTTGTATTATATTTTTGTACTTAGAAGTAAGTCCTAAGGTTGAGGAAATTTTCATTGTTGTTCGCTGGTTTTGGGATGATTTGTGAGAGAGAGTGAGAGGCAATTTGTAGATATTGCAGAAGAACTTGAAATGGAGTCTGTAGAATTGATCAACATGTTGATATATTGTAGAACATTTCTTATTCTTAATCTCTGTTCATCATCTTTGTTTCTGAATCTCTGTTCATCTCTGTTCATCTTTCTTTCTGGGTTTTTTGAATTTTGTTTTGAAAGTATGCTTAAGCATAACGCTAGCTACCGATGGATCCATAAGATTGCTTTTTCAGGGCATCGTCTTCAGGGAATCGCCGACCTCTCCGGCTTTTGCTAAAGCCACTTTGTTGATCGAATAAGTACCTCTCTCTCTCCCTCCCTCTCACTCTCTCCCTCTCTAGTTGAGGATCAGTGAAAAATATTATACCATTATGGAGAGTCGTGATGGACAATATCGTATTATTGTGGAAAGTAATATTGGACAATATCGTATTATTATGGAGAGTCATGATTTCTAACATAGTATCGAAGAGTAGTCGTGGACTTTGAAGGTGTAGTCAAAAGTGACTCATATGTCTAACAAAAGATGAACTTTGTTTGAGAACTTCAAAAAGAGTCGAGCTTCAGTTGTTGTTCTAGGGCTTAATAAGCCTGATATGTTGGGAGTGGCTCTCTTTTTCTCTCTTCAAAGCAGCTTTGTTGCAGAGCTTGTCTCTTTAATGGAGTATTGATTTCTGAATTCTGACACAATTTTGTCGATGGGATCAAAGATTCTTTGCTTCCTGCTATAACTTCGACCGTTAACCCAAGCTTGGCTAGCCGTTCTATTTGGGCTTACTAACATGCTGCAAAACTAAGCCCAATTGTGTGGATGGGCTTGGACCCATGTCACGATAATGGGCAGTAAATGTGTTTGGGCCCATATCACAATAATGGGCTGTAAATGGGCTTGGACCCATATCACAATACTGGATCGGAAATGGGCTTGGACCCATGTCACAATAATGTGCCGGAAATGGGCTTGGACCCGTTACAATAATGGGCTGAAAATGGGCTTGGACCCATCTCACAATAATGTGTCGAAATGGGCTTAGACCCATTTCACAATAATGGGCCTGAAATGGGCTTGAAATGGGCTTGGACCCATGTCACAATAATGGGCCGGAAATGGGCTTGGTCGTTGTGCCGTACAATTCGGAAAGGGACGGATTGATTGTTGGATTGAAACAGTGGTTTACATGTTCATGTCATTTTCCTCCACTTGTATAATAATTTTTCGAAAACGAAATCAAAATTCATCATAATCACATTTTTATATTCAATATTTAAAAAAAAAAAATTAATGTAAGAAAATTACGAATATAACCTATTCAATCTAGATTTGAAGTCAAATTTGACCTGATGAAACAAGAGGGCCTAAAAACCTATAAGAGTTCGTCTCGATCGAGTCCAACTTGACCTAAACCAGTTGAGTCGTTTGAGTCCCTGTGGCCGTGCCCTCGCATGTCCACAACCCAATAATTCACCGTAGAAGCTTAATTCACCAACGAGCTAATCCTATTAGAAAAAAAACGAGAGAAAACCCTAAACCCTCTTCACATAAATAACTCGTTTATTTAAATTATCGTTTATTTCTATGAATGAAGGGTCATGCTTCCTTCCGGACGAAGGCCCTGGAAAGAAGAAATCGATATTTTTCTTTAATTTCTTTTTTTTTTTCATACAAATAATAGTTCAACATTATTAAAAAGTTGAATTTGTTTGTTCTATCCTCGGTACCCTTCAATCAAAACATTAATTTACTCGAAAATATATACATTCTTGAGTTGTCGAAGTGAAGATTAGGATTGTAATTGAAATATCCAATACAAATCACAAAGATCCAAATTTTCTAATATCATTTTTTAAAAGAGCTTTCAAATTTTAAAAAGTGTCATAAATTTAAATTAATTAAAGTTAATTTTCATCATATCCAAAAAATTATTTAATATTCATCACGATTTCAATAGAATTCTATAAAATTTGGTCGAAGAAAAGTTGTTCATTTTTCAGGGTCTCGAAGGGGTGTGGAAACACATAAAAACTCTGGAATGAAAATAGAAAAAGTTGTAACTCGAGTTCCTTCGGAAATGGTAAGATCTTTGGCACAAAAAGAAGGGGTTGATCTGTATCATCTTGACTGGGTTATGATTTCTCTGAGTTGGTTCTTTTCCTACCCATATCGAATAGAACATGCTGAGCCAAATCTTCTTCATGTAAAACCTGCTTTATTTACATTGGGAAAATCAAACGATTTTATGAAATCGTGTGCTATGGCTCGAATCCGTAGTCAATCCTATTTATGATAGGAGCAGTTGACAATTGAATCCAAATTTGCTCATTATTTTCATTTTCGTATCAATAATAGTGCGAAAAGAAAGACGCATAAAGAAAGAAGGATTGATAGGAGTTCTCAACAACAAATCAAAGCATCATTTATTCCGAATCGAGTTGGAAAGTCGGGGAAATAAACATAGCTTGATGATGAACACAGAACAAAATGTAAAGAGAGAAAATTAAGGTTTAAAAAGGAAATAAATTTGTTGAAACCCAAGTGAAGGCGGCGATGGGCGGAAATGAAGAAACTTAGTAGGATTCAGGCTTGTAAACAATGAAACTGATGCACTGCACTTGGCGGACATTGTCAAACCCAATGACCCTGATGAATGCGTTGGGGTACTCCTTCTTGGCCTCCTCGATCTCAGCCGCCACCTGAGCTGGGTCTGTGCACCCGAACATGGGCAGCTTCCACATGGTCCAGTACCGTCCGTCGTAGTATCCCGGCGACCTGTGGTTCTCACGGTACACAAATCCCTTCTGCAAAATCATCCCAACCCAGTTCAGAAATGATCATGAATTTATAAATAAGTAATTCATTTCTATTCTTACTACCCTTTTGAGAAGCCTAAAAGTTAACTTAGTCCTGTCAAAGAAATTGCAGTCAAAAAGTGACACAAATGTAGAACAAATGTAGAACAAATGGTGTAAAGGCTCATGAGAAAGGAGTCTAGCATCAATTAGGGAAGACTGTTTGAGAGCTCCATAAGCCTTCTATGGTATACATTGTTCGAGTGTTCGGAAGGGATTTTCTATACAGCGAGAGTCGTGATTCTTAATATTACTAACCTCCAACTCGAACTCGATGCAGGGAACCCAGCCAGAGCGGAGAAGGTACCCAATTTCCTTCAACAATTGTGCATCCGAAAGATCAGGCAGGTAAGACAGGGTCTCGAACTTCTTCAATCCAAGTGGTGGCCACACCTTTACAAACAAACCCACAAAAAATTAAGAACAACCCATAATTTTAATAAACAAATTGAATGGTTTAATACCTTCATGCATCGAACTCTGCTACCATTGCTGGCGAGGGTGGTGATGTCGTTGTTCTTCCGGGTGACAGGGAAGCCAGCGGTGGATTTCAGCCCAGTGTAGGGTGCTACCATGCTAGCTTGAGCAGGGGAAGCCCTGTTCACGGAGGCGACAGCGGCGGCGGAGGAGACAATGGAAGCCATTGGAAGTCCTCTGTTTTGTTTTTTGTTGTGTTTTTTGTTAGCTAGCTAGCTAGTAGAGTACTTGAACGCCGGCGCTGGTTGAGTTAGCGACGGCTGACACTGAGAAATGGTGTATTTATAAGGCCTTAGCTCAATTCATTCGCTTACGCTGCAACGATTCTCCACCGCTTAGGCCTTTTTATCCATTCGCGAACCCATTCAGTGGTCGTAAGCTTGGGATTCAAGATCATGTCACGCTTGTAATGACCACACAGTGGATTTCAAATCTTATCCCCTTTTTTCCTCCACCATCTCGTGTTGACACGTGTCAACGACCCATTACCCTTATCTCTATCTCCCCAATTGGGCCGACGTTTTTCAGCCTACCGATTCCCTTTGTCCTACGTGTAAATTTATATTTATTGAAGTCGGTCTGATTTAAAGTAATCCACGTAAATGAAGGGTTCTGTCCACGTCACTCACATGCATGGGCTTAACTACGTGGACCCCTTGCGTTATTGAAGGGAAAGAGAGAGAGGATGCCACGTAGACTAGATTCATGATTATGGGCCGCTTATTGGGAGCCCAAAGCCCAGAGCCTTGTCTTGGGCTCTTATTGCAAAATAGACGGGCCCATCTAATTTCTTTCAATACAATTTTATATTTTGTTATTACCATTTAATTTTTTTTTAATTTTAAAAAATATATTTATCCTTATAACTATATTTAAAATTATCAATAAAAATTCAAAAGCAGCATTAACATTTTTTTTCTTTATAAAAACTTTTTTAACGTAATATATGAACGTATCGACACTTCAATTTTTATATATTTTATAAACTACTTTTCGCCTATGGCCGAAAAAATAGATAGTTGATTTCTACTTTTGTTAATGGTAAATATTTATCGGTAATAAAAATCGGGTGGATATTTGCGAGATCTCACATCGGTTGGAGAGAGAAACTAAGCATTCTTTATAAGAGTGTGAAAATCTCTACATAACAGACGGTTTTAAAATCTTTAACGAAAACCTGTAAGAAAAAGTTTAAAATGGATAATATTTAATATTAGTGAGTAAATATACCTTTATCATTCAAGTATAGTATATCAATAATAAATGTATCACGAATGGGTTCCCGATTGTGAGAGCCATCTATACATGCTTCAATCCCGCTGACAGGTATATTATCTTTGTAATTGTTGTTAGCTTCTATTAAGTCTGTTATTCTTTTGAGTTAGACTGTCATATGTATAATTGGTACAAACTCGAGCCTATTATTTTATTAATAGTTTAAGTATAACGTCAATTAGTCAACATTAGTTTGAAGTCAAATGTTCATATGTCGTTTTAGTGATATTTTGAGTATATTTTAATAATATAATATTTTGAGTATATGAATTTTCTTTTTAAAAAATTTAAAAAAAAAATGCAAGCCTTTTTATTTCAAACAATCTAAATTTATTTAAAATGTGGGCCAAAATATCCATTCGGGCCCATTTTCGTGGCTTTTCGCGGGATCACGCTTGCCTGACCCAGTCGTCTCGTCGGTTCCATGGGAGCGCCACTTTTGGAACAACGAACTTCAAGGCTCTTACCTGAAACCAAAGCAGGCTCAGCAAGTCCAACGTACAATTTCTCTATCCGTTTCGTTTTCCATACCATTCGCTGTGTCCGTTTTCTTTGTTGAAAGTACAGTTCAAATTGAAAAGTTGCATTTCACTCTCGCTTAATCGTGATATCTTATACGCAGTGGTTCGCCATTGCTGTCCCGAGATAATGAAGAAGCATTTTCGGCGCTCTTTTGTCAACTTTCGGACTAGAATGTTGTCAAAGGATTGAAAACCGCGTAAGTACCACATTCTCCTTCTTATTTACTATACTGAATTGTTCTTGATTCTCGGTTTTTGTAAGCATTGTTTGTCTGTGGATTTCTTGTTTAATTTACTCTAATTTAGGACTTTAAACTCGTAGGTTTACTGTTGATTTTACATTTGTATAATCAGATCATTCTGTTTCTAGTTTGAATTTCGTAAATCTAGTTAGTCTTTGAGCTCATCCTATCGTGTTATTAAGCGCATTAGTGTATTAAGATTACTCTGGCTTAATAGATTAAGATTTGAGTAACCTCTGTTGAGAGAATGCTTGTTGTATCAAAATCTCGTTGTTTTCTAAGAGCAGGAGCTCTGGATAATGACTCGTGTCTAAATTTGTTAGTAATCCTTGAGATTTCTTAAATGGAAGCATGTCAGTGTTAGGATACCGAGAATATCTCGGTTTACATCAATTGCTACCATAGCTAACCTGACCTAGAGGAACCACTACTAGCATAACATTCTCGAACTCCTCTAAGCAAATGTTCGGATTAGCTGACTTGGCAATAGGAAGAAAGTGTGAAAAACTACAGTGATAGAAATTCTGGTTCTGTTAACCATCTTTCTTGTAACATATGGCTGCACAATTTAAATAGCTGATGCAGCATTTGAATTGTAGAGACTCATTTATGCCCCCTCTCTAGTATAACAAACTAGGCCAACTCTCTACAACTGATTAGTGAAATCTCACCGACTCTTTACAATTCAGGCACTTGCTAACAAATATTTTCCTAGCACTCTACTCTTTGAAGATCTCCACCTTTTATTCTTGTACAGATGAGATAAAAATAATCTTTCCCTTGTAATCCATCAGCTAGACTCGCATACTCGGGGTTTAATCTTTTTCATGTTTCAACACGAGTCACTATTTAATGTACCTAGGCGATGTCTTCATTTATTGACAATGGATGTAGAACCTTTAAATCTGTTGGTCATAGTTGAGTGATAAACCAGGATTTTGGAGCCTTTCAACTCATTGTGGACCCTTGTTTCAGAAACAAAGTGAGACCAGTTAGATCAATCCAATTTTGGCAATATTTGGGATGTTTAAAAGAGAGGAATAGCATTTTTGTTGACAAGAAAATGTTTGGTGGAAGAGGCGTGAAAGTTAGGTCGCTTCTGAAGTTTCTAGCTAGATTTCCGTATGGAAAGTTTCTTATCATGTTTATGCCTAATTGCCAGCTTTCTGTAGCTTCCCTCTCTAGACAAGGCTCTTACTGCCTTCCAGGCTTCTTTGATGATTTCCTCTTTATTCTTTATTTTTTATATATATAAAAAAATTGTTCTGCCCTTACCCAATCGGTAATTTATTTTCTTATAAAAGTAAATGGACACGAAGATCAGCTTTTTAAACGCCCAAAACCTATGTTAGCATAGACTACTGTCATATTTGCCTCTCGAATAAATTGAAGCTCATAGATCAGAGAGAAAGGATTAGAAGAAAACCTGCGCGAAAAAATACAGACCTTTGGCATCATTTTCAAAAGCTTAGAACAAACTAGCAAATTTACGTAAATGAAAATATTTCTTTAAAAATCTATTTTGTACCAATTCGAAATAGAGAAGAAGAATAAAACAAAAACTTATAACTGATGGGCAATTGGCTTTCACCTAGTTATAGCCTTGGTGTTGACGCCTTTCCTTGGAATGCCGAGACCTGGTGTTTCAGAATAACTTGTGATAAAATTAAAGTGGGACCTACTCATTATGTGTTAGTTTGATCTAGTTTCATTACATCATTATCTTCTTTATGAGAAGAATGAGAAAATTATCTCCAAAGTCATTCATTCAACAAAATAATTCAGGAAATAATAATATCTCCCATTACTTAAAAATACAGAAAAATTTGGGATTTGATACCATCTATAGTTAGGCGATTGGTTCGGCACCAAGGAATTCCACTTTTGTGCAAGGAAAGAGCACCAACGTAGTGGTGAGGCAAAAAATGCTGCCAAATAAAGAAAATATGTGAACATAGTGAGGGTAAGACTACCAAACTTGCAGTACTGATTGGTAGAAATGTCGAAAGCTTCTTTCTGATAAACAGATGAGAAAAACCCTTACAAAAAGGGAGCCATGGAGTTGAGGCCAACTCATCAACAAAATCAAAATAATATGAATAACCTTAAATCTCATGAACTAAAAGTATTATCCCAACAATTACAAAATAATAGTTTAAGAAATTGTAAATTTAATATTCTATTTTGGTATGTTATAACAAAATATTATATAAAAATAAAACGCATATAATTTGGTCAATTCTGATTGATTATTGGCGATAAACATATAATATTATTAATGGTTCTTATGACATTACAAGTAATCCCTATCTAAATTAATCAACAATATATGATCACAACTATCATATAGACAAATTTATATCAATTAAGAGATGCTATATTAGTAAATACTTCGAAAAGATATATTTAAAATTAATTTTAAGAAAATACATAGCAATCCAAAACTTAATTTGACTCGAACATAGTTCCCTGTCAACTAGAAATAACTTGCATGATAAAAAAAAACTTCATTTAATTTTCAAGGATTTTCTCTTTCTTTTCCCTTTCCTTTTCCTCTCCCCAAGTTTTAGAACTCTCATTAAGCTCGAGTGTTTCAATTGGCATCTTGTTATTTGATTCCTTTAGTTCCTTCTCAGTTCACTGTATCACTTTCACTTATTCGTATTTGAGCACCAAGAATAAACATGGAAGGACAGACACCACCTATTTTACGTAAGACTCTGATGTTGCTATCCGCAACGTAACGGGTGCTTTCTTAATTCTCCAAGCTATTGAATCACTGTTTATGGATGCTGAACTGTGCAATCTTTTGGAAGATCATTTTCTCCTTGAAAACATCATCTCTGGTCTGTAACTCGTTTTTCATCCTGGTGACGTTGTCAAGCTAACAATTATGGAAATTAAAACCTCCCTGTAAGTTCAAAATCTTTTGGGTGCATCATTGAAGTCAGTCATTGAATACAAACTTCGACCAACTCGTGAAAGAAGTTCGAATTTTGTGTTTAATGCTTCTTTCAGACTTCCTGGTTGCAGATGCAGATACAATCAATAGTGCATATCTACGAGTGATTCTCTGAACTTCTCCAGTGAACACTGCAGAAAGGTGTTTTTTTTTTTTTTTTTTGCAATGAAAAATCTACCATCCTTCACAAAATTTACAGTCGCAAAGTTATCTTCTAAGGTAAGCCGTTCAAACTCGGTGGTCGGAATGGCTAGCTATGCTTAAAATCCACCCCATCTCCTTCGCATATAGGCATATTATTGGTTTATCTCTATTGGGTTCCGGATGATATATTATGATCAGACTGTGTGTAAATTCATGGTGTTCATGAGCAAAAGAGGTTTTGAAGATGATAGGAGCTTTGGGTAATGAAGCCAAATTCTGAAGATTATTATATATGTTCAAAATGTATCATTTAAGGTGGACCGTCATATACTGATTGCCAAAGGGAGAGGCTCCTTTGTTGTTAGTGGCTGGAGGAAGTATGTTGAATAAGATTTAAGCAAAGAATATTTCAGTCAGAGTATTACTTTTTGGAGTCAGTCAGAGACAGCTTGTGATTTGGTTCAATATAGAGAAAACTAAGCTTGTATGTAATTCCAAGTGAATAGAAAAAGAAAGAAAGGAGTATATTGGAACTTTTAGTAGCTGTCAATTCAGAAGAAGTTCAATTCCCTTATTGACCAAGTCATTTGCCTTACTTTCCCAACCTCTTTCTTGCCCTAAATTTTAGAAAATACTCATATAGTCCTATTCTTTTTCATTTTTTTTCTTCTCTATTAGATTTATGATAAAAAAAAAACTTTCTTATTTTGTTCTATCTTATTAAATATCCTCTTACTCCTCTACTTTCTTTCTCCAACCTCTAAAACTATCCATTCAATCAAGGTATATATAGGTTATAGCAAGAAGAACGAATAAGACAATTCGTAAGGGAGAAAAACATATACATTGCCAAATTGCCAAATTTGTAGTAAGGAGATTTTCACCTTTTTAGTTCAAATTAGTTTATTTGCTATATAATTAATTTAAGAAGGTTTCTGGAAGATGATATTTTGAAAAATGAGCTTGATTTTGAGATTTTTGTGAGATTTTATACTTTGTTGTGTTTTGTCTTGTTAACCAAAAAATTGGTGTAAGATTTGAACAAATAGGAAAAAATGAGTGTCTATATAGGGAAAAAAAATATTGAGGGGAGTTACTTTTAAATGGGTTCTTCTCGAGTTTCCAACCCAAGATTTTTAAATATTTTAAGGCTGCTAATACAATTGTTTAAAATTCAAAACTATTTTTGTTAATTGTTTCCATACATGTTAAAAAAATTGAAGATATTAACAAAACTCTCAAAAGTTCAACTATTAAGAGGGTCGGTCTAAAAAGATATATTTAACTTTGTTTTCTTTTTAAACATTTAGCCTTCTTTTCACGAGGGAGTGAAGGAAAATGGAGGGAGAAGGCGAAAGGGCCAAAAGGGCCAAAAGGAAAAAGGCAAAGGTAATAAAAGACACCGGAAGGGGATTAAAAGGTGATAAGACAGGAGAAGAGTACAAAGTGGAAATAGGAAGCAAAAGTTGCTGAACTTTAATGCCTGCATCATGCTCAGAATTCAACACAGGCTTTCTGAAATTGATAGAACGTGGCCCTTTCCTTTTACATCTTCTGTTTCTGCGTAGGAACTGCCTCATTTCTCTATTCATCTTATGCCTACTCTGCTCTAAGTTTTACTCCCCAGTTGGGTTGGGGAGCTCCCCAAGAACACTCCCATAAGTCATGTATTATAAAAAATCATGGAGAAAAAGAAAAAAGAAAAACCCCTCTTGGCTATATCATACTTGGCTTTCTATGGAATCTTAATCATAAAAAAATAGGCACCGACAAAGGTCGGATTCTGAATAAAACTCGACTTGTTTTGGTTATTGTTTAGTGAATAGGGAAGAGAAGGAGTCAAACCCAAGTTCCGTTACCATATTATATGAAGGTGGACCATTTCAGCCTGCTATTCCCTCATCACGTGGCCCACCCTCGTCCTTCTCTCTTTTCTCTGAGTGTCCCATTCCATTATAGCCGTCTTTTCTTTGTTCTTATATCTCACAACTAAGCTTCAAACCCCATCTGAGAGAAATACAGACAACAAAGCCATTTGGGTTTGACATTTTATTTATTCATGTCGACCCTCATACACACGGGACTTCAAAGCTACTGAACTCAAGTTTCATCCAATTTCATTTCTCTCTTCTTCCAGCGATGTGTACCAGAAGAATCGCCGCTTCCTCTTCTTTTGCCATCCTAATTTTGATCCTCTGGGTGTCGCAGATTTGGGTTTTTTGTTGTTTCTCCCAAGCTAGAGCTTCAAGGATTTTCCCACCGCCGCCGTCTCCGCCGCCGCACACGACGGACAAAACAGACCACGCCAACCGCCGATATGAACTACTTCAAAAATACTTCAATGACAGACGCTTCCTCGATCCCCACCGCCACCATGAAGGATTCGTAGATAGTAAACGGAAAATACCCAGTTGTCCAGATCCTCTTCATAATTAGTAGGATTAATTCATTTTTCCATCCATAATACCCCCGTTTTTCTCTTTCTTTTCTTTTCTTTTCTTTTTTCTGCTCGCTCTCTGAGATTCAACGGAGAAAACCGGGGTTATTTTGGTTCTCCTCTTTGTTATATATGAAATCATAAAGTTTCTTCTTTTCAATTCATTCCACTTCAGAAAACAATGTGTAGTAGTAGCAGTAGCGGCGACTAGTGATTTCTTCTTCCATGTTCTTTTGTTCTATTGTCTTTGACTTGAATCAAAACACCAACTTTTTAACTGCAAAAAACCAGAGGCCAGAAGAGAATTAATCTGGTGTATAATATGTCCTTTCAGTGTCCAATCTGAATGATCTGTCAGTCATTACAGAAATATCCGTTTATCACTTCGGACTTGTCTCCTTGTTGGGCCTACTGGGCCTTCATCACCAGGCCCAACCCTATAAAAACAGATGCCGTTGGTTGAGGAGAGAGAAGAAATTTTGATTTGGACAAGGGTTTACTGAAATTTGAAAAGTGATTTTATTGTTCCCATCAAGTCATTTAAAAAATGACCAATTCTACTCTGGTTAACTTAATCATGAGCTGAAGTCTTTTTTTAATGGATTCATGAAAAAGAGGGAAGTGCTTGAAGGGGACAAATCTAAAGTTAAAATGAGTGATATAAATAGTAGGAAGAAGTAGAATGGTGGTTGGATTTTAGTGTTTGTTTGATTTAGGAAAGGGAGATTTGGAAATCTCTGTGGTTGTTGGTTTGTGCCATAATTTATTTGTCATACATTGGAACACCCACCGATAAGAAAAAAACAAACCTAATAATGAGTACGAACCCTCGAGTTAAAAAAGTTGATGACCTGATAATCGGGAAGAATATGACTCAACCCCGGCTGCTGGTAGTAGTAAATGGTTAGGTAACAAGCTTTACATTTTTTCAAATTTAATTTAATTTTTATTATTTTTGTTGTTTTATTGGAAAATTAGGAGGAAGGGAAAAAAAAAAAAAAAAAAAAAACAGAGAAATCGAGATATGAGAATACGGCGGGTATTGCGCGGCGAAGAAGTTTAGAAAGCTGCAATTTACTTATGCACTTAGCGGCCTGCTTTCTTTGTCTGCTTGCAATTTGGATTTTGGAATAAAATTGACCATTTATCTCTCTTTTTCTAAATGAAAAGTTCTTCATAAAAGAAAGGAAAAAACCCATAGATTACTGAAAGTTGGTGAAAGAATTTATGGTAAACAAAATCTGGTGACAAATTAGTGAGAAATTTCATAATTTCTTGCTAATAAATTAATTTAAACATAGATTAACAATCAGGGTGTTGGGATTGTTGGGAGTGAGTCTCACATTGACTAATTTAGGAAATGATCATGGGTTTATAAGTAAAGGAATATGTCTCCATTGGTATGAATGTTGAGGATGGTCGGGGTAAGTCCCACATTGACTTATTTAAAAAATGATCGAGTTTATAAGTAAAAGAATACATCTCCATTGGTATAAGGTCAGTTTGGAAAACCTTTATTACTTAAAGGGGACAATACTATTGTGAATAGTTAAGAATTAATTATTTTAATTATAAGTTAGAAGATTGAGATTTTGACATATATATACCCTTTAAATAAATAGCTTTTATAAGCTGTCTTTTTATTTATGAGGTAGGATGGGTAGGTTTGTAAATTTAATATTTCTTTNAACTTTGAATTTTAAATTTAATATTTCAATTTATATTCCAGCGTATGGTAGGTGTGAGTATTATTACTATTATTCAAATTTTGATAGCTCATATATGTTTTTTTTTTTTTTTTTTTTTTTTTATTAAATTGAATAGCGTAATTGTTATTAAAAAAAAGTCTTAGAGCGTAAAGTTTGGGTACCCGGCCCATTGATAGAGTAACGGACCCTACCGGCCCATTAATCATTTATTGGGCCATCTCTCGACCCATTGATAGACCGTGGATCGTACCACTAGCCCATTTATGAGCTCGCGGGCCCAAAATTGATGAAACGGGCTTTGCTACCAACATTTATGGATCCATATAGACTATTTTTCAAATTTAAAACTAATACATAAAAAAACGAGGACCATTTGAGAAAACCCTAGAGGGATTTCAATTTCAATATCAAGATTAATTACAATGGATATAGAAACGTATGGTCATGATTGATAGTAATAATAATATTTTGAAGACGATTAAAAAGACGCCTCGTCTCCAAAGCTGAGGTGGTTGAATTACATTCAGAAACATGTCATGATGATTCAGACTACCGGTAAAAAGTTAAACAATATGAATATTGGACCATTAATCAATGTGAGGACAACTCTAAGACTAACCTAACGTGCAAACTTGGTCTCATCTTTACTTTTTTTAAAAAAAGCCATAAAATAATTGAAGTATTAGAGTAGCTTACACATATATCATGCTAGTGTCGGTTGAGCCTACAAACGTTTTTTTTTCCCTATTTTGTTGACTACTCGATCTTTTAAAAAATGAAACGTAAGCTTATTGCCTTGAAATATATGTGCACATAAAAATCAACCCGAGTACTGTTTTCTAAGTTTAGCTTTTTTAGTAAGTTTATGGTAATTAAACAAAAAAACCCATTTGATTGAAACGATAAAAAGAAGCCCTAATGGAAGTGTACATTTAGGGCATGAAACAATATACTTTAATTAGCAAATCCAAAGGGGAAAAAAAGGGATTAATTATGGGTATGAGTATCAAGTTTAATGAGACAACAAAATCCCCACATTAATCAGAGAATCAAAGTCATAAGCCCAAAAAATGGAAACCACTTAATACTTAATTAACTTCACTCATCCTCACCCCCACATAAACCATTTGCTCCTCAGCGGTTTCTATAATTCCATGGCTGCATTATTTATCTCTTCCAACGCTTTGACTTTTTAATTTATAATATATTTTATTACGTTAAACTCTCGTTGTATTCGTGTCACCTATAGTCAGACAACTTATGCTCAAGCCTCTGACCCCATTTGAGAAGAAGCTTTTAGAAAACTGTTTGAGGGCTTCAGAGAAAAGAGTCGAGTCTTGATTAAAGGGAGGTTGTTCGAGAGCTCCATAAGCCTTAGAGAAGGCTTATAGTGTACTTTGTTCGATGGGAGAATTGTTGGGAGTGAGTCCCACATTGGCTAATTTAGGGAAAAAATATATCTCCATTGGTACGAGACCTTTTAGGGAGCTTAAAACAAAGTCATGAGAGCTTATGCTCAAAGTGGACAATATCATACCATTGCAGAGAGTCGTGATTCCTAACAAAAACATGGGCATAAAGATTCTTAAAGACAGAATTTGAAAGTACACATGAGAGAAAAATTTAATAGCAACGTTATATAACTACAAGCAAAAGTCAACACAACGACTTATATAACATATAACTTTTCAGATACCGAAAATTAGGAGCTAAATTGAAAAAATCTCTCATTCAAGTAGGGGTAGGAAAAAAAAAAAAACGTTATATATAATTATTAAGGGTAAAAAGAGAGAGAAAAGGTGGTGGTAGAGAAGGAAAAGTGGCATGTTGTGGGGGCAATAGAACACATCCCCTTCCCATTAAGCTTCCTACTTCTGTGTGCCTTTCTCTTCTTTGCTTTTACCACTGCATGTCCTCCACTTTTCCACCTCCTTTTCTCCTTCTCTTTCCTCCATTTCTACCTTACTTATAAAACTCTCCACCCGTTCTTCGACAACTCATGATCGACCTATTAAACACAAAATTAAAAGTTTAAGAATATACTCGAACGTAAATAAAATCTTGGATTCTATCGAATCTGTGAGTTTACGTTGCTAAAACTATGGATTTCATAACATTATTTGTATTAAATTAAAGCATGTATTAGACTTCAAATTTAATGGGTTAATGTTAAATATAAGAATCAGTGCCCCACTCATTGAAGTTTGAAATTAGAAAGTAGACTGCAAATTTGCAGTTCAAAGTGAGGAAATTACCTTAATGCCCTTCGCCCTCTTTGGTTATTAAATACCCCTCTTCTCTTCTCCTAGCTCTTTCCTCACACACAAAAGTCTTGATATTATGAGAATGAGCTGCAATGGCTGCCGGATCCTTCGCAAAGGCTGCAGCCATGACTGTATTATCAGACCTTGTCTTCAATGGATCCCCTCCCCTGATTCTCAGGCCAACGCCACCATCTTTCTTGCCAAATTCTACGGTCGCGCCGGCCTCTTCAACCTCATCACCGCCGCCGCCGAACACCTCCGCCCGGGTAATTCTCACTTTATCATAATTCCTTACCTATGATATCAAATCGGGTTAAGAATCACAAATCTTCACAATGGTATAAAATTATCTACTTTGAGCATAAGCTCTCATGCCTTTGTTGTGGGAAGGTCTCACAGTTTATATTCCTTAGTCATAAATCTATGATTCCTAACACAGTTTGATATTAGAAATTATGGATTTTCACAATGATTGATATTGTCCACTTTGAGCATAATCTTTCGTGACTTTGATTTGGGCTTACCCAAAAAGTCTCGTAACAATGTAAATGTATTATTTACTTATAAACATCATTCCCTAAATTAGGTTGCGTGGACTCCCTCCTAACAATTCTGAACAAGTTTCTTAAATTTTTTGGATTAAAAAATTATATAAAACAGTTAAATTTATTGTTTTTTTTTTCACCCTAAAAAGATTATATTATATAAAGAATTAAAAATACATTTTTTATTAATATGTATGAGGAAATTCAAAATGTTGGTATGTAAAATATATTATATTTATAATTATTTTATTTAATGACATTGAAAATTGTCTGTTTTTAGCCATTTTCAAGTCGTTGCTGTACGAGGCGTGCGGCCGGATGGTGAATCCGGTCTACGGCTCCGTCGGATTGCTCTGTTCCGGCGACTGGGATAAGTGTCAGGCCGCCGTTGACGCCGTGTTGACCGGATCCATGATCGTCGAACCAGACGCGCCGCTGTCAAACACTAACCTTTCCCTTAAATGTTGCGACATTCGACATGTTTGTAACGACACCAATTTGGCAGTTCCCGGCGAGCTTCACAAGGGCAAGACTCGGAACCGGTTCAAAAAGCCCGACAACCGGACCAAATCCAAACCCGGACCGGGTCGTGAATTGGGAAGTGGGTCGAATGTGGAGGTGATTGAGATAGACCGAATGGCGGATGATTTGATGACGAACCGGAGGAAACCGGGTTGGGTTTTGAGAAATGGAATGTGGGTTGAGGAGGAGCATGTTGAGCTGGAGCTGACTCTTAATTCGGCTCAGTAATGGAAATTAAAAATGAAATTAAAATAATTAATTAGGAATTAGGGATGGAGTGTTGATTTCCTATGCATAAAGCAGTTATTAGTATTTACTGAGCTCTGCAATTTTCCGACTTTTTTTTTCTTTTTTTTATTTATGTATAAAATATATTGTAAAAATAAAAAATAAGAAAATGAAAAAATAAAAATAAATTTATATAATTTTAGTATACGAATTAATGAACCTTCGTCCATTTTTTGTTTAGGTTGGAATTTTCTTCGAAATGGTCAAACCATTAGTCAAAAGTTTATGGGCCCGAATTAGCGATGGATTCTTTTTGGACCCAGTTTGTACTCATTATGGGCCTGAGATTTTGGGCTTGATGGGCCTGGTGCACTGCTAGGGATGAATTCATTTTGAGCCCAATAATGAGTTGGGGTTAGAGATGCTCACCCGACGGAGCGGGGATGGAGAAGCGCTACCAAAATTTTTCATTTATTTTTTTTATCCCATGGGTAATTTTTAGCCCATTTATTATTTTTTTTAAAAAATAATTTTAAAATTTTCAATTTTCAATATAATCTAATATATATATATAACAAAATTTCTAAAATTTAACTCTTAATAAAATTAACTAACTTATTTTTTTAATAAAAAAGAATATATACTTTTCTTTTCTTTTTTTTTTTTCTAAAAAGTATATGTATACATACACGTATATAATTCAACCTAGTATTTAGTTTAAATATTATAATTAGAGACTCGAAATTATCTAATTATTTTTTATAATATAGTAAAAATATATATATATATATATATTATGTGGGTTAAAAATATATTTAGATTAAATGAAGTTGAGACAGGAAGACGAATATAATCCTCTATTCCTCTCACTCCTCCCCCATTAAACAGGAATCTCCTTCACATTTGATGTGGGTCCCTACCAAGCCTAATCGACCCAGTCCTAATCTTGGGGTAAAATGAACCTTGAGAGGCTATTTTTTAAAATTTTACACTAATTACTAGTTCAGTGGTCATAGAATATTTAGCATCTAAATAAAACTAAACCAAAACATAATATTACAGTAACTTTCACCGATAATGCTTTATTAAACCGTTCTAGGAAACAAAAGAGAAGTATGCTTTTCATGATTTTCCAATGAATATAATGACCTTAACTTACTTAGATTAAAGGCATTATTGTTTAGATTATTGGTACAAAATCAAGATTAAATTAAGAACTTAAGCATTAATTAAACAAAGGGAAAGGTGGCGGCGCAAAGCAAGAGGATCTCTTCACAAACCTCCCTTTCATTCTCGGTCTCTTCTCTGCGTTCAGTTTCCGAACTTCGTATCTTATTTTTTTTGCAAATAATCTCGTCCTTCTCTTCTCTCTGTATCTCGACACTCTTGCTTCTCTCTCTCCTTCAACTCCGGCAGCCGCTTGTCGCCTGATTCCGCCGCCAACCTCCCCGTAAGCCTGATAATAATGTCCACTCTCACACATACCCTTCGTAAAAACACACAGATCACTTTCAGAGACAGAGCATTTATTATACATATAACATTCTTAAACAGCAACATCAGACATTAAATTTCATAGGACACAGAGAAGAAGATGAGGCAACATACCATGTAATCCGGCCAGTAATAATCGAGGTCGACATTCGGCCGTTCACCGGATGTCCATGGTGTTCCTCTGCTCCCCCATGCTATTATCACTGCTTCACTATCCAAACTCAATGATACTTTCTTTTTGTTTCTTGCAATCTTCGTCTCTTTTTCCACCTCGAATTCACGGTTCTTCGCCAATGCCATGACTTCGACAATCGTCTTCTCTTCCTTATCGCACGATGGATTGTCGCCAAAGTCCATAAAGTTCAGATCAAATGGCTCCCTCATTGGATCGGTCTCAACACCGAGCATCATCGGAGTTAATTCCTCTATCTCATCTGGTTCAATCTTAATAACTTCGCAGCTGTTGAAAGAGCTATCATCCTTTGTCGTCCAGTCGTCTTGGGAAGCTCCCAGCCCCAGTTCTTCCATGTCAAAGCACTCAGTATGTGAGTTACCCAACAAACTTTCAACATCAGCTGCAAATTCAGCAGGATCCATATCGTACGAGAGATACCCATTTGAATTTTCTTTTTCCCCAACAAAACTAGCCAAATCACCAACATTTGAATCGAATCCCAAAACAGGAACCCGATGAAGAAAGAACTGTTCCTGATCTTCAGTTTCTTCTTTAGCATTCACCTCCGGTACCTGAGGAGATGGCTTCCTTGCCAGAGCAGCCTTTCCCATTCGAGGCGACCGTGGCTTTCTAGTGAAGCCCTGATGCCATGAGGCAGCAGAGGACTTATCTGAGGAGGGTCTGAAAGAGGCAGTTTGAAGACGAACACGCTCGTGCCTACGGGCCAAGGAATTGGCGGAGTGAACCAAAGCATCACAAGCTTGGCACAGAAAAGCATCATCGGCGGCACAGTACCACCGAGCCCGCTTGCTGATACAGCTATCGCAGGCTCTGGCAGTCTTACCACCCTCAGCTGTTTTCTCCACACTTTTCCTCGTCATCATTGAATTCAATTAACCAGAAAGGTGAGAGAATCTGAGTTTGTATCAAAGACTCAACTTGCAGGTTTCAAATTGGACACTGTTCATAAAGCTGGAGTCTGATATTTTCTAGTTCGTCTATTTTTTATAAGTATTAGGGACAAGCTATTTCAAAAAGACGCCGTCGAGGGGCCAAGGGAATGGCCCACAGACTGCGCTTTTCCAGTTAAATTCACAGCAGAGAAGGGTCTGGATTGGAGAGGAATTGCACTTTTGGGCACTTCTTTTATTTACAAAAGAACTTGCAGTGAGTGGGTTCACAGAAAGGCCTTATCCACATTTTCATTGGTCGAGGGATTGAAGTTCATCCAAAGGCTCGTTTTCTGATTGGCCGCGTAAATTTGTGGGGCACCCTAATTAAGACGGATGAGGAAAAGTACGAAACCAACCCATCACTCAACTTTCTACTTGTGAGAAGGGACACTTCTATTTTTGGTTCAACTAAAAGTTAGATTTCAGTAGGACCCGCATCCTAATTGCATTATCCATTGCCTTATGTCTCATCCCATACTTTTTATTCTTTCCCAGAAAAAAGAAGATTTTCTCAGCCCAGCTCGACTTGCCCAAATCAGTCAATCTTATATATATGCACACTTGCAGGTATTTTATATCCAACTAAGATTGGGAATATTGGGAGAAATTCTATATCTATATCTATATCTATATATATATATACATATATATATATCCTAATCCAGTAAGGCATTAGAACCGTCAGTTTTTATGTTTCTGCTCGTGAACATCCAAGCTCTACCACAGCATCCAAAGTTAGCATTATCCAGATTCTCTAGGATCTTTATCATTTTTTCTAAATAAAATATAAAAATGTGCTCTCAAAATGTAATAGGTTTTTTTCCTCAATAGTATTTGAATATTGTGATGAACAGAGAACATGCCTATTTTATTCAACAGTCTTCAAGTTTGATACAGTAACAATCTATAAAGTGGGTAAAAGTATGTTGAAGTACAAACAGTAACACCTCAATCTAGTAGTTTATAAAATAAAGGTTAAAAATTATTGCAAAGAAAGTAGTTTGAAGGTTCTGACTAACTTGCCTCTCGCTTTAATATAATCTTTTACGTTCATTCAACAATCACATGCAGCTACAGACAGTTGACTTATCAGCTGTCACTAATGAGGGCTTTCTTTCAAAACCTTTGATACCGCTCGGATGGTAGATGGTGTTGTTCGACAACAGCCACCAATGAATTTGGCTCCCAAATCACGCCATCTTGCACTAAGTGATTCAAATTTGTCATCACCAAAACAATTTGATGGCTGCCAAAAAAACAGAGCATTACATTAGTTATAGTCTTCTGGAAATATCACAATGTAGGCCCACAAGCCATGAAAATATCAAAGTGTGGGTGGGGAAAATCATTTGACTCACCAGCCATTTCTTGGCTCTACCATCCCATACCTCGCCACTATTAGGATAAACAACTATGGGCTTGTCTGTTAACTGAAGGGAATATTATGGTGTCAAAACCAGTGAACACGAAAACAATATCAAATCACAGCTGTGAGAGATTTGGTTCCTACCTCTTTGAACTTACAAATGAGAGCTTCAATAAAATGAGGAGGTGTACAGTTTATTCCAACTGCATTTACTTTGTCACTTTTATTAATAGCCTGAAGACACTCCTCAAAGCTCTCTCCAGATGGGGCATTCTCACCATCTACGGAGCTAAAGCAGATCCAAGATAGAATTTGGACGTTTTCTTCTTCGAGCAATTCCACACAGGCCTAATTTTTTGAGTTAGATCAGAAAGGGAGGGGGGAATAGAGGTAAGTTTGGTTGGAAACAAGATTACCAAGAGGAGAGAAAATAATGAAAATTGGAAAATCAATTGAAACAAATGTACTCACATGCTCACAACAGCCAAAAAAAAAAAAAAAAACCATTCAACATCAGTATGTTGTGACAATCGGGACCAACTAAATGAAGTGTTGTAATTCTAGTTTGAGAATTAAATAGAATATCTGAAAGTAAAATAAGCAAATTGGAATAAGTTTTAAAACAAAGGGTTTAAACCACATTTAAATTATAAAAAGATATTCATCATAAAGAGGACAAAAAATTCAGATGTTAACGATTTGAGACCAGATCATGCAATGGATGCCCCATTGGCGTGGCGATGCCATGCCCGATTGTCAATTTGTCTTGATCCCTTGAAATGAACAACTTGTAAATTCAGACGAACAGATTTAAAAATATACTTAATTTGCTTCCTCAGATCTTTTATGACTTAGATCAAACCATAAGAATATAAGTTGCAGTCAAATCATCAGGACGGCATTAGAGTGAGTCTAGTATTATTAAACCACAGTTTAGATGATATAACAAGTGTTAACAACAAACAAACCTGGGCTTCAAGTTTATTGGGAATAGTCTCAAATGCAAGCAAATCTGGGCTTGCACCGACAAGAATCTGCAATCGGCGTCGATGAAAATCCTTCAGCGTATCCACATCCACATCTGGTCCATAATGCCCACTGATTGGGTGGGGGTAATATAT